CAACTCCACATCAATTCGACAGCTCATATGCATCTGATGTGCAAAATATTAATAAGGTGTGATCTATGAACTTCACACTAATAAAATGCATGAACAACAACCACTACACATGAATCAACCACCACAACCACAACCTTCTTCCATTCTTGAGCCATCATCCACCAAACAAGAATGGCTCAAACGAGAAGGGAAAGCAAAGGCAAAACCCTAGTCAAGCAACCGGTAAAGAACTAAAGAGGTTTCATGCGCTAAACAAAAAATCGCAGAAATAGGAAGGAGATGAGAAGAGAAAACATCACATTCGAAAAAACTCATAAGCTCTCTCATATCTGCGATTAGAAGAAGAAAACTGCTCGTTATACCTCAGATCTGTCGATCAGGGGGCTACGAAGCAAGACGACGAAGGAAAGCCGCGAGGGAAGTAGTTAGGGCAGAAGAGAAACGAAAGGGGTAAGCGGGACAAATGTTCAGACGAAAGCGGGGCCGCGGGGTTAATATCGCGGCCTGCTTTCTCTCAGCTTTGCGACAGTTTTGCCGCAAAGCTTCAAACCAAACGGTCGACTGCGGGACGAAGCCGCTGTCGCACACAGCATCGCGCAGCAGAAGTCGAACCAAACGAAGCCTTAGACAGAGACAAAAAGCGAAATCTATTATAATTATGGGAAGTGTACTCGAGGTTGATTTGAGTAGTTTAATTATAAAAAATAATAATAATACTAATAGCATGCTCATTTCATTCACTTAATCCCCTTTAAATTGGATTTTTTATAGTACGCACTCCACATCACCCATTAACTACCTGATAACCACTAAACCAACCCAAACTAGAATATAGCTATCATTTTCCTATAACATTAAGCTTGCCCTGTTCAAATTGCTAATAGCTCCATCTGGACACAATTCTCAAGGATAAATTAAGTGTCCAAATCCTTAGACTTTTCACCTCCTTTCGATTTCATCTAATCATGTTTTTGTTATAATTAAGTTTATCTTTCACGGTCACCGCTAACAGAAATAGTCCACGGTCATATTCATGATTATTTGTTATAATATGAAAAAATGACAAGACTTTCACCTTTTGATTAAATTATTTCAATGAAAAATAAATAAATTCAAGTCAATCCATCTCGTAGATTGGATTATCCAACTTAGCTCCAAATATATCCCCACATATTGAAGTCTTAAGTTACTTAATCATAACATCAAATAGACTTTTTTTAAATGATCGTCAAGTCAGCATCAACAATAATGAGAGAGAGAGAGAGGGGCATTTACATACATACCACCCAATTCTTACGTATTTACAAATCTAACACCAAAACTATACTTTTTATATTTATACCACCCATATTACATAAAAAAAAATCTCACTTTTTCAACTTTTAAAACGTGTAATACACCTTTTCATGCATATGTAAGATATCATATATATAAAAACTAAAGTTTAGGCATTAGATATGTAAATACATAAGAATTAAATGACATTAATGTAAATCTTTATTATGTGCAGGGAAACAAAAGTAGTAACCTGCTCCTCCGGCATCCAAATCACATGCAATGCCCAAATCACATGCAATGCAAAAGTAGTAAGCTGCTCATCTCCTTCACGTTTCCATCTTCCCCAGAAAAGCTTCACGGAACAACGAGCTACTAAAATAGAGATAAGGTTCTTTATTCCATATCACCGTTGAAAAAATTACAGAAGAAATACATTTACATGTGATTCTATATCATTATTCATCTTCTTTAAATTAAACTCCACCTGTTTCTATCCCATCTTCTACTAGCTAACGCACTCAACAAATATACACTGTCATCTCGCTTCCAACAAAAAGGAAAATTTACATATATAGCACACAATTCTTATGCATTTATCTCACACCAAAACTTTCATATTTACATACATAGAACCCTTAGTAATTTAAACCTATGTATGGAATGGTGTATTTGACTTATAAAAAGTGATAATATTGCTGTTTTTTATGATATCAAAGATTTGGCTGCTGTGTGTGTAAAAGGTGTGAGAAACATAAATACATAAGAATTTTGTGCTAGGTATGTAAATGCCCCTAAATGAACAAAAAAAACAAAATCTCGAAGCTTGCATTCAGCGTCTTCTTTGCAACTCAGTCTTCCGCCGCAAAGTAAACTGAAGATATTGATATTCGTGTTAGTATATCTAGATCGTAACGACCGGGTCGGCCGCACCTAAGCTTCTTCTTCTGCACAAACAGTCTGGAATGGGATTTTCATAGAATGCTTCTTCTGATCTAAATCTCTCCTTTCCCTTTGTTCCTGATATGGGTCCTTTCCTCTTCCTAGGCGAACCTTGCCTGTTCAAGCAGTCAAATATATGAAGGTTAAGCATTAAAGAAAGTAAACATGTAAGAATTTATGAAATGTTGATCATACCGTCTTTTGTGTATTTCCATAACCATGTCTGAGAATGTCTGGTCTTCCATGAGTCTGCCCTGGTTGATCTTATCAAACAATTGAACAAGTGCTTTCCTAAGGAGTTAGACCAATTTCGAAAGGTGATTAATTTTTAAAGCATAACTTCGGTGCTGTTATAAATGTAGAGAAAGTTTTAACTAAAAAAAAAATAACGTACATAGCATACAATTCTTATGTATTTACATATCTCACATGTAAACTTTCACATGTACACACAAAGCACTTTGGTGCTTTAAAAGGTGTGTTTCACTTCTAAAAAGTGATAGTCATGTTATATTTTAAGTGATATTAAAGATTTGAGTGTTATGTGTGTACATATGAAAGTTTGGGTGAGATGTAAATACATGAGAAATGTGAGTTATGTATGTAAAAGCACCCAAGTAATAAGCCTACCTGTCAGGAGATATTGTTTTACGGTGGCCCAGGAATCGGCGGTGACCGGCCACAGCTCGTGCCATATTCCCCGAATAGGATGGAACGAAAACATCACTTTCTACTGAGACAATGTAGTCTAAGGCTGCCATTTGAGATGCATGATGAACAAAAGGTTCCAATTCAGCAGCTGAAGCTATTGTTTCCTGGAAAAAAAAAATTAAGAGAAAAGGACAACTGAAGGTAGGACAACAAAAGCAAGGCTTAATGAGTGTCTCAAAAAATAAATTCTGATAATAAATGAACGAAAAAAATAGCAAATTAGCGTCTTTTCAAATATTGAGTCAGTTTGCAATATTAAATTTGGTAAATTTGCAACATAAACATAGTTAAGAGAGTTAGGAAATTTGAGCTTAAAGCTGCTTCAGTTGGCTTCAAAACATTCTTTCCCCTTTCCGGGCTCATTTGGTTTCTTGTGAATGTAAATAATATTTTTAAGGAAATAATGATTTCATTTTCACACGTTTTGTGCTTTGAAAAAAAGTTGTCATATATTAGACGTCTGCATTGATTAAAATCAATGTTGATTTTTAATTATGTCCAGCCACATGATTGGTGAAAGATTTCAAAATTCAGGTCTTTTCATGAAAAGATAGCATTTCCATTCTGGTTAAAGTTTCAGCATATCATCAAATACTTCACGTAGAAAACAAATGCAATTTAAGAAGTTAAAGGAGCAAAATGTTAAATTAAATAGCTAGCAACTGTTCTTAAAAATAAAGAATCCATCTTATTTTGTACCTTGTTCATCAATAAAGGAAAGCGGGACTTCAGTTCAGCCATTTGAGAATCGCCACCATATATCTCTCCTGAAGCAATATAAATGGGAGTGTTTGATGGATATCCTAATGCCGATAGAAATATCCCAACCTCCTTCGGAGTTAAGGGGCAATAACCTTTGCTCCTTTGCTCTTTGGGATCAATATCCTTCACCTTCCAATATGAAGTGTTTTCTCTATAATAGGAATAAAATAATGTCTATAAGTACAATTCAATAATCCTAAAACATCTAAAATAATATTGCACCACAAGAAATTTTTACCGCATCGAAGTCAACTCATTAGCTTCAATAGCAGACAACCCATATGTGCACCCGGTAAAAGCAAGCATATCCTTTTCATACCGCAAGTGTAGAGCAATATATAGCCCATTTGATCTCATCCTTTCGACCAATAACTATAAAAATGCATCAAAAGCACTCAAAAACTTACTAAAATAGCCCAAAATGCTTAATTTATCTAATGATTGTGTGAAACATTTTTATGAGGAGCTTCCTACCTTCCCATTAATTGTCTTGTAAAAACTCAAACAGCGTCGTAGAAAGCACGGCAGCGGAGTCTTTGAATGTTGAGCGGTAAGTTGTTGTTTGCAAGACGAGAGTCGGACTTAGCAGCCTGGATAATCTACGTGAAAGGTTTCACGATAAGTTAATTTGAAGAGTGCACCATTGCAAATAAACAAAAAGAGGCTTTTTCGGGTTGTTAGAGCTCTAATTAATGCATAATAAACATAAGTCAAACCTTATAATTCTCCAAAAGATGAGATATCTCGCCTTGATAGTAGTCCATCCCAGACCAACTTATAAAATGCTTTATAACTTTGGTTTCCGCTTTCAATTCTTTTGGCAATTTCTTCACAATATGAACATCATTTGCCAAAGCACTGATAAAATGGTTCTCATCAAAAACGTCTGAAAATTTGCTGCAGTAACAAAAATGATATGTTAAGAGAAGATGGATTCTGAGAAAAACATGAAATGTTAAATGAAATGTGAGGAAGGCACCTTGAATCTTGCCAAAAGGATCTTTTATCAAGTTTAGGGATGACAAGTGTAGCATTTATGATTCGTGCAACAGCAACCATGTCACATATCTGAAATAAAAATAACAATCATAACAATTAAAAGGTCAGAAACTAAAAAAAAGTAAATACGCTGATTAATACGTTTCATCGGACTCTTCCTTTTCCAGTTCAAGTATCACAGGTTACTTGTAGCTCTAATTGTTAATGATAGCTCAAATAAACATTAAGCACTTGAATTTGTGCTGCTCAATCGCAGCGCCTCAGAAAGATTTAAGTTTTCTGAATTCTAACAGCCATTTGGTCATTTAAAAAAAATGACGGTATTAGGCCTAATATCTTTCTAATGCATCTAGTGTGATCAACATATAATCTCACGTCTAGGAAAGCAAGTCTACAGGTTTTGTTTCCAAAATTAAGAGTGATAAAAGAATCATAGTATGAGTAGACAGAGGGCTTTCACAGAAGAAGAAAGATACCATACCACCATAAGATGGGAAAAGACAGGAATAAAGAAACTTTTGTAGGATGTCAATGATGTGATCAAATAAGCAACTACAATCAAGCCTAACAAATCCCTAAAAACTCTCACCTTATCAAGTAGTCAATTTAGTCCAACATTCAATAGCTATAAATATGTCCAAACATAATTATCAAATGCTTGGAACCTCACTAAAAAGAATAAGCTAACAAGTTGAAAATTGGTTTGATCACTGCTCTGTCTGACTCAACTTCGATCCCATTTGGTTCCTCATTCCCAATAGGATCAAGTTATTCATGTGATTTGTAGATCCTCTGGGCCATTAGTGTTAACTACAATAGTTAAGTAAGGTTCAAGAAGTGTGCTAGATGGATGATTCCTCATAAAAGCATTCGTTGAAGGGGGTTAATAGCCAATATAGCAAGCTCTCATGGAGTACAAATTATGAACGCACGCGAACTTTCAGTTTAGTTCATATCAGATAGTTGAGAAAGATGTTAGTGTAAAAATACCAAGTGATTAACACTCACCAAAAAGGTTATGCTTTTGAGTTTAAAAAATAATTTGATAAGTTGTGTACATGGCTTGACTTTGTCCCCTTAATACCTCACTCCCTAACAAATCAATAATATTCCTACCTTGTAACAAGACAGTTGAAGATAAATATAAACGCATGTTGCGCATGAAACCAACTACATAGCAGAAATGAGAGGGATAAGGTAGGTGAGCCATGACATACCCCTGCACGCATTTGGTTTAATCCACCGTTGGTATAAACAACGAGGTAGCCCCTTGACTCCCCGGGAACTGATTCACAATGAAAAATCAGTAAAAAATCCAAAAGCAGAATCAAACTCTGAACTCCACAAAAAACACAAATCAAACAGAATTATGCTTCTTACACGAATAGGACGAGTTGGGTGAGACACACTGAACAAAATCACGGCTTGATGGCGCCTTCCACAATTGCTTAAAAGCCGACATGTCCCTCAAATCGTCCACCTTGATCTGCAATAGAGAGGAAAAAAAAAAAACCAATGATTAGATAAACTTACACAAAATTCGTATGCATCTGCCAGATGCAAAAAACAAAAATAAAAATTTAAAAAAAAAACCTTGAAGTTAAGATGGAAAATTTAACCTGCAAGTACAAAAAGAAAAATAAAGGGCGAAAAAGAAAATTTTGAAAAAAAAACGATTTTTTTTCTTAGGGATTCCTGTTGCATCACCCACCATCTTAGGTGACGATGGCACCATTGATCGCTGCGGAGGGGACAGCTCCTGCGTCCACCTCAGCTCGCCGCTCCAACTCCGAACTCCGTTCTCCGGATGCTAATAAACACAAAACCCACTAACACCAATGAATCCACCCAACCAGAGAAACAGAGACTAATCGAGAATACAAAGCGAAGAAGATCTAAAAACCAGTAAGGGAGAGAGCTAATAGAGCAAAAGTCGCAACCTTGACGAGCTTGAATGAATCAGGAAAAGCGGGCACCTTCGAAGATGGGAAGACATGGAAGACGACAAGGGAGCCCAGGCAGATTACCGCAATGGCAAAGCTTAGCATTTGCCGAAAGACGGAGAGTGCGCTCGGCGTTAAACTGCGCTTCTTCATCCCTTACACTTTCTCCTCTTTAACTTTCCTCTCAGATATCGTCCTTGTAGGCAGAAAAGCATAAACGGGGAAGAAGATTATGAAAGCAAACTAGAGATTACCACGGCGCAGGGACTCTTGTTGCCGTTTTACGCTTCTGCGTTTCGACCTGCGCCTTTTTAGAATACAGTATTCCGATTTCCGGTGCCGAAACTTCCCTAGCCGCCACGCGCCACGTTTATTCCCGAATTACCCCTATTTGCTTTGTTCCGAAAATGCCCCCGCGCGCTGTAGCCGTTGGGCGCTGGTCTATGGCTGTGCCAAGGAAAAAATTATTTTATAGGATGCATGCGGTGTCTGATTTATATCGTAGATCACGATAATCTACGGTTATACAATTAATTTTTTTCTTTAAAAAATAATTTTAAGTGACGCCCATCGAAATATATTTTTACCGTAGATCACCGTGATCTACGGTGTAGATCGGACAACGCATGCGATGTTTGTATGCAATAATTTTTCATACTTATGAGATTGAAAAAACGGATGAAATTGTAGAAAATCAAATAAAAATAAAAAAAAGTGCGCTTAGTTATATACCACCCAATTCGTATGGATTGATGTATTGAACATTTAAATCTTCATACTTACATGACACTAATTTTTATCATCACCTCAAAAATATTATTATTATTTATTTTTTTAAATGTTAGTCATTTTCATCAATACAATCATGCTGCTAAAATATTAATAAATATATATATCTTTAGTTGTTAGATATGTAACGCCAAAGAAAAAAAAACTTAGCTCTTATCAAAATTATAATTATTAGATTTTGATATATTGTTAACAAATCATCATTATCAGACATGGATTTCGAGCATTGCATAAATCTCAAGATAATTTTTTGAATAAATAACGTTCAAAATTCGATTAGAAATCATCCAGAAATCTAACTTTAACAAACATAGTCAAATTGATCGACTCAACGAGACGAACACAAGGACACCAAAGTTGATCTGACCTGAGTAAAATCAAGGCAAGATCGAGCCATTATGCCATTTTTGGAAGCTTGTAGTACCACATTGAAAGGTCATAGATTCTAAATATGAAAAACTTGTAGTTGAATCAAGTATCTTGATGAGACAAATATAATGTGTCAAAGATCACTCAATTTCATTATCATTAAGACACTCAAATATTCACAAAACACCGTCTGATCGAGATAATGTCTCTGATCCATTTGATGAAGTGGTATGGATTTATTACTTAATTATAGGGAGACTATTCTCAGACTCTACAAATAGAATCACATCCCCTTTATGAAAGAAGACCTAGACTGCGAACTAGATAAAGTATGGAGCTTGAAGGAGAAGAAATTGAAGTCCGGTGTTCTACAACAAAAAGTCTAGCTGCTTGATCCAGTTGATTTGACTTGAATTGGGCCAATTCTGACATCAATGAGTTTGTCTGGCTGAGTCGATCAATTTGATTGTAATTTTGCTAAAAACGGGTTTTTTGATGATTTTTAGTTTGAGTTTGAATGTCTCTTGCTCAAAAATACTTTGAGATCTGTGTCAATCATCTCGAGATTCATGCTAAATAATAAAATTTATTGATGGCGTATCAAGTGTCATTATAAGTCTTAAGTTTATAGGTATTTTAATAGGTTATTATGTGTTTATGCTTTTTCTTTTAAAATATTTGTAATTACTTTAGTTTTACATATTTACAACACAGTTAGTTTTTATTTACTATGTAACACCTAAATTTTCATGCCGACATTTAAAACACCTAAATCTTTAATATCACACAAAAATACCACTCTTAGTAACTTTTTAAAAGTAAACTATAAATTTCATGCATTAATTTATGACGCCTAAATATCAATTTTTAGGTGTCACATATTGCAATATTAAATTTATTTAATTTTATTATTTATTTTTTTATACTTATAAGTTTTCACCTTGAGTATTACGGCAACGAAGTAATCTGTGGAAACCCCTTAAGTCACTAAATGCTAATTAGATGGTTTATAATTAAAGGAATTAGCATGGTTTGTCTGATACAATATTTTGATATTTTGGCTAAAATAATCTAAATATTATGGCACAAAATGGCACAAAATACTGATATACCATTTTTTTTTTTTTTAACATAAGGAGGTTGAAGCTAGATTCGAAATTAGACAAGGCTTAAAGAAATGAAAATACTCAAGATTTGTTACTGACGATTAATATTGGCAATCACCACCAATGATTGTTATCATATGACTAGCATTGCCTAATTACTATCGTTCAATCACATCGCCTGATCTCTAACATCTAATTATTGTCTCTGAGGTACCATCACCCAACTATCATCATCAAACCCTAATCACTCAATGACAATCTCATGTTGGCCATCATCTATCACCATCACTTGAATGTCTTTGTCTGACTATCGTTGCTATACATAAGCACTCCCTTAGATATTTCTAATTTTGTAATCATGACTACTATAATATGGTGGTGCAAATTTTATTAGATATATAGTTGTTGAACTAAGATTTGTCATTGAATCGCACCGAAGGAATAGAGCTTAAGGAAATGAGGAGATAACGCGTGATAGAGAAGAGAAAATGAGAGAGAGTGGAGAAAGAGTGAAGAATGTGTTTGGAAAGTGTTGTGTTAACCCTTATGTTAGTCGTTCTCTAGCGGAAGAAGAAGTATTTCTTTTATATTCACTCTTCATACTTTACATAGGTGCACTTTCTTTCGAAATATGCATAAGTAATAATTATATTTAAATATTTTGGAATATATAGTTATTTTCTTTTGTCTTATTCTTATATTTATCCTTTGTTGAAGTAACATTACTCCGATCATATGTGCACTTCGTATGATCGCATCTCTCAATCTATTTTTTCATGAGTTAGGTCTCCTGAGATAGCTATTTTGGGAGTGTTATCCTAGGACAAGTGATGAGTCATAAGTGACGAGTATTGAGTTCAGCTATTGGATGAGTGATAAGTTGCAAGTGGTGAGTGACGAGTGACGAGTGATGAGTGATGAGTGTCTGAGTGGCAGGGTAAGTAGGTTCTCTGGCCAAATGAAGAAATGCCCGAGTTTAGCTCTTGGAAGAGTGATGAGTGGCTGAGTAGCGAGTGGTGACTTCAGTAGGTTCTCTAAATTAACTCATCACCTTGAATTATGAAGGAGGATTTCAATCATACATATTAGTTTTTCAATTTTCTTTTCTCCATGAAATGTAACTCTGAAAAAAATAGAAGAACACTAAACATGAAACTATGCATTGCTTGTCTTTATATATTTATTTGGCTTAAAAAATAAGTCATTATATGTGTTATCCTCTCAAAATAAAAGTTAAAATTTTTCAAGTAAAAATGAGTGGTGCATTTCTCTATGTGTTAACTGTCTGTCTGGGGCCTCTTAGCTCTCCTATAGGGAATCAACATGGGGGCACTTTGGCTACACATATAGGATTCCATCCTAGGATATTTTGGCTCATCTTTAGAGAGTATTCTCATAGATTAGCACCTCATTATTTTAATGGGCTTATAGTGTGAGTTCCCTGAGTGTTACCAGTGAAAGGAGTTTCCTCTTTTTGTGCGACTAGATTGACTGTTTCATTATAATATGACTCAAATATAAAGAAATTCAAATAGTCTTATTAAATTCAGTTTATCCTTTGACTTGGGGTCATAACACTTCTATATATGTAGATTAATCGCTATAACTTTTAAATTTTATATAGGTCGAGATCTCATGCTCTTCAATCATTATGTTAACTAACTTAATATTTTATTTGACTGAGTTATATTTAGAAAAGAGCTTCTTCAAAGTCATTTCTAACATTTGAAAATTAAGATGGTTTTTCTTTTACTCTTAGGAAACTTGGTTATATAGGGCAAGTATCTCGAGTACTATGTGCAAATTTTTTATGTATAACAAGTGATAAACACACTAAAGATGTTAAAAAGCATAAATACAAATAAATAAATTAAAAAAATAATGATAAGGCTTCTGAAAGATTTTTCGTGTTGTCGGAGGCATTCTTGTTACTTGACTCCACTCCATCACGACTCATCTTCCCTTGAACAAATTTTATTTTCCAGAAAATATTTTTGAGAGAACTAGTTTTTTGGCCGAATGAGGGGGCCAAGTACAGGAGACTAAGTGTTGTGGCCGAGTGCAGGAGGCTGAGTGCTGGTGGCCAAGTGCAGGAGGCCGTGTGTAGAGGGACTAGGGCATGTGGCTGAGTGCAAGAAGTCAAGTGCATATGACTCGGTGCAAGGGGCTAAGTATGAGTGGTCAAATACAACTATTCTCCCGTATGTTTTCTCTATTGCATTACATGTTGCTAGTTATTTATGTATCATTTTGTTATGATTCTTATATAGCTCCTATTTTTGTTTGTGGCATATATGATCCATATTCACCGCATTTTTTCAAGTATTGAACCCGTATTTGTCCTTGAATCACACTAAAGGAATATAGCACAAGAAAATGGGGGGTGAATGAGAAAAAGAGGAGAGAAATGGAGATTGTGGAGAGTTTTATATTAACCCTTATGGTAGTTGTCCCCTGGAGAAGGAAGAAGTCTCCCTTTTACATGCACTCTTCCCCCTTTAAAAGGAACTTTTTCTTATAAAATATATGTAAGTTACATTTCGACTTCATAAAAATATGTTATCTCTGGCAAGCTATTCCTTGTTGATATTGTATTTCTCTTTTTGTCATATGTGCACTTTGTCTTGTTACATCTCTCAATCTATTCATTCATAGATGAGTTCTTCTGAGAGAGCTAATTTAGGAGAGTTCTCTTGGGATAAGTGATGAGTGACCAAGTTCAGCTCTTAGATGAGTGACGAGTGGCAAGTGGAGAGTGATGAGTGGCGAGGGGTCGAGTGGCCGAGTTAAACAAGTTCTTTGGCCGAATGACCAAGCTACAAAGTTCAGCTCATGGGTGAGTGGCGAGTGGTGAGTGGCGAGTGACGAGAGATGAGATTTTAGAAGGCTTTCTGCGCTAGCTCAACATCATGAATTATGAATGAGAATTTAAGTCAATCAAATTTTAGCTCTCAAGTTCCTTAGTTTTTCTTTTCTTATATTCTTTTAGGTAAGAAATTATGTGCGAGATTTTTTTTTAATTTAAATTATTTTTTATGTATGATCTTCATATAAATTTATGACATAAAATTTTATTATTATCATG